GGGGGGGGGGGGAATGAAAAAACAATGAGAGGAAAAAAAGTCATTAAATCGACTTAATCGAGGCACCAATGCTTCCAAAAGCAGAACAACTAATACCAACTACTGATATCAACAGAAGCGAACCGAAACTAGACCGATACCAACAAGATTTCGAACCTTTGGTCAAAACATCCAAATGGTAGCAATAGCCATGAAAAAATATAACCACCAGCATGAATCATCATTTATATAGAGAATGAAGAAACAACATTTTACAACCTAAAAATTCATTGCGCTAACATCAAAATTTTGATTAATGAATCTAGTTCTAGAATAATGAATAAATTTATCAATTATTGTACAAATGCATTGAGCATATTCCTATATGATTTTCTTGGTCTTTATTCAACAATATGACCTTTTTTATTGGATAGAAGAAATCTTCACTGCATAACACACTTGGCATAAGATACCACGAGGTCCACCACCAATTTCAGCAAAGAAAGGGAGAGATTCAACTGGTTACTACACAGGAAGAAATGTTCTTTAATTTGAATGGACAAGCAAGATGAAGAAGGATCATTTTAGGATAGCATCCATGTTAACAATTTGAGCATTGGCAACAATCACCATTCTCAGTACACAAACTTCAAAAAAAAATTAAGCATTAATTTCCATAAGTTCGCCAAGATAAAATAACTATTAATACATAGGAAATGCATTTGCACAAACCTGCAGCAGATACATGAATCTAGATGGAATATCCAATTAATAGCGATGAAATACACACGCATATTTTGATATAGGAAAGACTTTAACAGAGAAAGAAGAGCAATGACTTCTCAAGAATTGATTTGAAAGATTATACACAAACTTCAAAAAAAATTAGATAAAGAAGATTATATGTATGTGTGTAAGAGAAATTAGCAACATTAATAAATAAATAGATAGAACCTCCAAGTACCACTATTTTATTATGATTTAATAAAACAGATCTTATGCTTACTTTTTAAAACTCGGTGCTTTGATTTGAAATGCAAAAGAAAATGCATGACGTCGTAGAAGCTCCATATAAAGCCTATATGCCACGGGTTTCCGACGTCGACTTGGAATCACCCTGTTAAAGATCAGAAGAATTTTACATGATATGTAAAAAAATTTTGCATATTATGTCAAAAGAAACCATTCACGAAAAAAACATGGCCCCCAAATGTAGCAAAGGCATGCCAATTTCGACCCTACATTCTGTAGTAGAAGAGAGATACGTTCTAGGATAGAAGTCCCACATTTGTGGGCTCAAGTACATTTAAACGATCAAAAAACACAACAAACTATTTCACTAAACTCATATGGAATGCAAGAGAGAGACTAAGATGAAGAATCAAAGAGACAACTGCTAAGATGAGTCTCTAAATGTGCTTTAGGTAATGCTTAACTGCTTAACTAACACAGTAAATTAAAGCTTATAACCATAAAAGAATAAAGTACAAATAGAACTCACTGGATTCATTTCACCTTCCTAGCATTACACTCGCTGTTGCTGCCTACATACACCTAACATGTGTGATATTTTCTTTTAACATGTGCCTTATTGGAACATTGTACAACTTAATTCGATTGAATTGAATAGATACATTTTATATTTTACTATCATTTACTATCCCTAGCATAAATTGGCTTTTAAGCCTTATACGCCGAGCTGGTGACATGAAAATATACTAAAGTAGCAAAAGTAACTTTAAATTGGCATTAAATTAGTAAACTTAACAATTTTTAAAAAAAAACATTTAAACCTTCAAATTGCATATGTAAGATCTGGATTGGTGGGATTTAAGATATGCATGCCATTTATGAATTTGGAAGCGATAAAATTCTGAGAAAGGATAAGATGCCAGTGTAAATGGGATTAGGAAACTTCCTTAAAAAAAATCTCTACCAAAGAATTTCTTACGTCTTAAACATTAGATTTCCTAGAGCACATATATAAGGGCGAGACTTTCTCTTCATGCTATTGCAGGCCATTCCACAAAGTAAAGACGAATCTTTAAACATGTGTGCATAAAGTCTTTTTTTCTTCTTCTCAGGGATAGGATAATGCAATTTTACCAATATTTACCATAATCCCATCAGAGACTATGGATGTCCAGTTACTATTAGAACTTCCAACTGCTTCTCATAACTCTAGCCTACATCGTCATGGATTCAGGATCGCCATTCCCACCTTTTTCTAATTAATTCATGACAACCAGCTTTTAAATGCCAACATATAGACAAACTTATCAATCTACTTTGTAAACCTGGGGTCGAAAAACATTCAATAATTGTTCAATCAATTCTCAATTAAATCTCAAATTTCGACATTTAACATAAACCCGGTAAATTTCTCCATAGGTCCAACATCACCAAGCTAACCGTTGTTAGGTCAAAACATATACAAACTAATAACTTCGCAATCAATTCCCCAACCAAATCGCAAATTTCAAATACCTAGAAGAGAGGATCGCGAGAACGAGGATAGGCGAAGCGAGCCTAGCGGAGAGGGCCTGATCCACAAACTTCCACGCGAGAGGCACGTGGCAGTTGCTCCAAGAGATGGGAGACCAAACCTCGGAGAGCTCCGGCGACGGCAGAGGCACCGCCGCCGCCGCCATCGCCGACGAGAGGTTCATCGCCCACGCCGCCGATCCAAACCCTTGTCCTGCGCTGACTTCGTGTACTCCGCCACCTCATCCCACAACGCCGCCGCCATCTAGGCTTTGGTGAAAAGTCAACGCATCTTGTGTCGAGGTTGAGGGCTGGAGTTAGGGTTTTCTTTGCCGGGGGGGGGGGGGGGGGGTTGGTTAGCGAGCAGTTAGTGGGCGACAGAGGAGGAGGGAGGAGAGGGGTGGCAACGCCGAGGGGGGTGAAGGCGACGGGATCCTACATTCTCTTGGTGGGGTGGGGCCCAGGAGAGCACTACTCTACAGGATCAGTGGGTTTTTGACTTTCTGGGACTAGTTTGCAAATTGGTCACAACAAACTTATGGCATGAAATTTTATTTAACTCTATTTTATTTTATTGTTTGTTATAAATAGAGAAGACATAAATTTTAAGTATGCGAGGACTATGAATTTGCCTCTATAAACACATTACCCATTTCACCCTAGAATATAAAAGTAATTAATAATTAATAGAGCAGATATTAGTTTTAATTATCATAGAAAAACTTGATGTTGATACATTTTTCTTAACGGGTCTATTCTGCACTCATTCGAAGACTAGACTCGTTACATCTTAGCTCTTACCCATCACATCATTCATCTTTGTCTTCCCTCAATCTTCAAGATCTTGGGCCTATTGTTGTAGGATAAAGTGATGGGACCTCGTAGGTACTGCGCGAGAAGCCTAGTGCATGATTGCTAGGTGTTTCAGTCAACCACCCTCGCAAGATAGCGATAATATTAATGTTTACCTCCATAATAAGCTAGAATCTGTAACGTAAAATTATGACAAAAGCCAAGTATGATTCAAAAACTTTAGAGAAACACGCAGCTCCAACCAAAACACAACTATAAATACGACATATTTTGTAAATATCATCACTCTGGAAAAAAAAAACTACATATAATACATCGTTGATATTCACGAATTATTTGATCTTAAATCAGAAAATGTGGTGAGGTATTAACTACAACACAGAGGTGAAGACTACCGCCTCGTTTGGTACGCGGGAATGAGGAGGAATGGAATGCAATTCCCACTTCTCATTCCCTCATACCAAACACACCTATATTTTAGATGTTGGAATGACCATTCCCTAGGAATGATCATTCCCACTATTTGTGGGAATGAGCATTCCAAGTGAGAAGATAAGGAATGGTCATTCCCATTCAAGTGAGAATCAAAAACTAGTTAGATATTTTTCAATTATATCCATATTAATAATAAAGAACGTTTGGGTGAGGCGCTATGCAAGTGGGCAATTTTAGATTGACAATTTAGGCTAGTATATCATTTTGCTATTTCGAAACTTATTATTTTAGTTGATATTGTTTTATGGATTTTTGCTATTATGAATTGAGTGATTTTGATACTTTATCAAATAAGTTAATTTATATATCTAGAACTGTGGATTGTGGATATCATTTTTTTTTGGACCTATGAAAGATACGATAATCTTTTTTTTAATTTTTCTTTAATTTTTAAGACTAAGAAATAGCGAGTATTGTTTAAAAAATATAAACGAAACATACACCTGATGGATAACACGAGCATTAGTATAACACATACCTAGATTAATATAACATATGCGTATATAAAATTATTTAGTTATTATCATTAATGTTTATTTTTTATCTTATTAAAAATCTATGTTGTTGTAAGGGCATTATTAGAAAATGAGATTTCATTCTCACTTGTGTACTAGTGATACCAAACATGGGAATGAGAATGATATTTCCATTCTAGCTTCATTCTACGAACGCACCCAAACAAGAGAATGAGAATGACTATTCCATTCCCACATGCAATCTATTCCATTCCTTATTCCATTCCATTCCCAAGTCTGTCCATTCTCGCGTACCAAACGAGGCGTACGGGTTTGTTTGGCAACTCGTCCACTAAATTGGATAAGGACACCAACCTGGATAGCAGCCTAAATTGTGTTTGGCAAAAGCTCGGACAAGATTGGAGTAACTTTTTTTAGTTCGAAAAAAAAATTGTTCTCATCTAGATTATCTTTTGACCACCTCCACTTTGGCTCAATTCTAACCCGATTAACAAAAAGTAACAAGGATTTGCAGTTAAGAAAATTGAATGGCCAACAATGCAAATTGCTCCGGGCTCGATAGTTTTTCAGAGAAGAACGTGGAAGCACGCGCCAAACTTGTTTGCATCCACGAATAATAAATAGTGCATGTTGGGGGTCCACTGAAGTAGTTAACTTATTATGCTCCCAATAGAATTGGTCATGAGTGGTTTGTTTCTGTGAGATCCTGACGTCTGAGCCAACCATTTCCTTCTCTCTCTCTCTCTCTCTCTCTCTCTCTCTCTCTCTCTCTCTCCGTTTGTTGGAAGCTCACCAACTCACACACTCTTTTGTCACATTTCCATCATTAATTTTTGGTGCCTTACGAAACCCGGCCAAATTATCACATAACGCCCCCATCACTCTCTGAAACAGTGGCGGAGCTTGAAAAAATAATTTGGGGGGGGCGAAGTTACATAATAAATTCATAAATACTTAATTCATTCAAAATAATCACCAATTCAATGTTATATAAACATCTAAAACTTTGCACGCTGAGTTTTCATCTTCTTAAAATAATCAATCACAGAATCAGTATCAATTTCTTGAACAATCTCTTTCTCGATAATTCAATTACAATTTGATTATGCCATTACCAATTCTTAAGAAATAAATTACTAGCTAAGCAAATCAGCCAAACAGGAGAAATTACAAAATCAAGTTAATCAATACAAATGGAAAAGAATAGAAATTCACAAGCCTTACAGAAAAATAGAGTAGCCTTTGCCCCAAAAGTTAGAATCAGCTTCGATTTTGTTGGAGATGAAAATTCTGATTCCAATTTGAGAATCGGAGCAGATGTTGCGGACTTGCGGAGTAATTTGAAGAGAAAAGAAACGAATGGACTTCTTCTATTTTGCCGCCTCTGTTTCGACTTTGATATGTTTTGCCTCCTTGTTTTTTGTTTTTTTCTTAACAAAGCCAACAAGAGATAAGTTCCTAGGATTTTTCAATTAGTTTTGTGCTTTTCCTTAACACGTGGCAATTGACATGGCAATAATGATAATTGTGTTGCTAAGGCCATGTTTGGCTATGTTATTTCCTTATACTTTAAAATGGTAATAACTAATAAAAAATATGTCAAAATAAATTTAGTATATTATTTTATACAATAATTATTTATTAATATTAATAATCAATGTAGTAAAAATATCGGGGGGGGGGGGGGCAAAATAACACTAATTTAAAATTATAAAAAAAATATATATAATACATCAAAAAAATTTGAAACGAAGGGGGGCGATCGCCCCCCCAAAGAACAATCTAAGCTCCGCCACTGCTCTGAAAATATCAAAAAACCCCTTAAGTTTAGAGGTTATCAGAAAACCAAGTTTTAATTTTGAGATTTATATCCGATAACACCCCTAAAAGCGATGGTTTTGGGGGGGGGGGGATTTCTGAAATAAAGTTCAAAGGGGGATTTTTTTTTTTTTTTGATAAAATCTTAAAGTTAAAATAGGGTTTTCTGACATTCCTTATATCTAAGGGGGGGTTTCCTGATATTGTAAAAGTTATAAGGGGTTAATCTGACAATTTTCCAAAGTTAAGGGGTTTTCTGATAATTAGCCTAAAACAAACTTTTAGACGAAAGCGGTTGGTTTGTGGTAGGAAAGGGGGCCATCTTTTATCCCTTCACAAAATTTCGATGATATCCCTACTTTTTTAGTACGAGAACTTTCCTTGTCTTTTTGCATGCTGGAAAGAAGTGAAGTTTAAGAAAAGGAAGGCAGTTAGCTTCTATAATTTGATTAAAAAGAGGAAAGGGAACGAAGGAGGGATGATTGAAGAACCGGAGCAAGATCGAACTAAGTTTTTGGCCAACTCTGAGCTAAGAGTAAATAAGGTTTAAAAATGAGCTTTTTAGCTAGAAAATACCAACTTAATTTAGAGGTAAAATCGATCCGTCTTCATTAATTGTATGCAAATCACATGAAAACTTTTGGGAATATTTTCAATGTTTAACAGTAATATTCTAATGTTTAACTAATAGAAGCTAGGTAGCAGTATGCTACTTTAAACACCAATAAAATATTTCAAATGTCAAGGGGGGGAAAAGATAGGGGTATATAAGTGCAACGTCGTGAAAACTATAAGGTTTAAGTGATATTTAGCCAATAATTGTCATGTAACCCGCTAAAAATTCCATATTGCTTCATACCATGTTATTATAATTTGAAAGAAGAAAACATCTACAGGGTTCATGATTTGTATGTATAAGGAAATTTGAAAATTTGGATACTTAAAAGCAGTTGCCTTAACCAAATTAATAATTCTCATTCCTTCTCTTTGTCGCTGTCGTTGCTGTCGCCGGCCGGATCGACAGACGTACGTAGTCACCAATTTATTTTTGATGATTCGAGCTGAACTATCGATCGGTCAGGCGCCGAAAGCAACCAGCCGCCTTCAGCCTCAAATTTTGACAAATGAAAAGTTAAGGGAAAAGAAAATAAAAATGACGGGCCCCACAGTATAGTAAATATTAATATTTTATTATGCATAGTATTTTTCCAAACCCTATAAATAAGATCTAAATTTTTAAAGAAAAACTCATCCCAGAAACAAACTCCTCATATAGAAGAGTGAGAGAGAAAGAATAGAGAGAGTATCTCCTTGTAAAGAGAGATTGTAACTCCAGAGTTTTCTCCTCATAGTAAATTCTTCTATCCTTGTCCGTGGACGTAGGCAATCAAGTGCCGAACCACATATATAAATCTGTGTGTCTATCATTTTATTTCTACTTTTGCTCTATTATTGTTGCGACCCTACTCTATTGGGCCACGGGTTTGTCCCAACACTATCTGCCCGAGATACAGAATTCTTTAGTTACACAAAAAATAATGTGGTCTGAGCTAATTTTACACGCCAATATTAATATGTTGTCTAGACGCATGTCTTTCTTTCCCCTTGATTCATCGTAAACGTGTTAACGAAGGTGTCTAATATTATGGTTAGATTTGGATTTGGTTGAGGGATGATAATTTGGGAAGATAAAGAAACAACACCAACTCTCAATTACCTATCTTAACCACCAACTCTTCTTGATGCACATTAAAAAAAAGAAAAAAAGAGAGAGAAGGAAAGAAAGAAATATATATGTAGATATCTGATGGCTTAATTTGAAAGGAACACAAGGGATTAAAGCTACCTAAAAAAAGAAAGAATTACATATCTCAACCACC